TCGGGGTTTGACCCAACATGCTTTGTGCGGTCGCGCTGTTCGTCGTTGCGCTGTTGGGCTTCTGCAGGCGTCAGATCGTCTTTCCGATCGTCCTTTAGCCACACCATGTCCAACATCACTAGCATATAGCTAGTGGCAGATGCATACGTCGTGATCGCATGCGTTTCCATCTCTTCGTGCTGTGCGAAGAGCTCGGCTGCCGTCCACTTCCCTCTGACGCGTTGCAGCCAGGCATGGTGCTCATAGCCCCAGGTAAAAACATCAATAATGATGTCCGGGTTCGCTGTGTCCCCCGCATAGTACGGCAGCAAGGCCAAATCCGGATTATACACGGTTGCTGGGAGAGGAGTGTCGAGCTCCGGACCATGGGGTCCTCCACCTGCCATTATAACCAGGGGCCTGTTATGCGGGTCCTTCTTCACAACCGCATCGAACTCGGCCAGCTCGCGGTGCCCTCGTGCAATCTCCTTCGGATGCACTGTGGCACGGGCTGCTGGCGGTATCCCTGGGCTATCCCCAGGCCTAGCCTTCTCTGTGGGAGGCGCTTTCTTTGGCAAGCCACTTCCAGGCGGCGCCTTAGGCGCAGGCGCGGCGAAAGCAGGAGTGATTGCCGGTGCGGCACTGTGGCCGACCGCAGGGGACTTCGCCATGGCACTGTGGCCAGGGTCCGGCGCTGCTGGAATCTTCGGTGCAGCCTTTGCCGTTGGGGGCGCCTTCTTAGGCAACTGCCCCTCTGCTGCGGCCATCGCGGCGGGCTCCGTGTCTCCTACGGACGTGCCTACCATGCAATGGTTCGGGAACGCTACGCTTATGCGTCGCTTAGTGTTGTTGCGATTCTCAGCTGTCGTTGTGAAGCTGTGACCGTGGCCTACGCCTACAGTGCTATGACCATGGCCTGCATCTACAGTACTGTGAGTGCGACTTGTTGCCACTGCGTCATCTGCCGCTGTTGCATCTCGAGGTGAGCTCACAGACTCTGAGTGAGCTAAGGCGGCGGCGGCGGCAGACCTAAATATAGGAACTGGCGGCGAGGGGATTTGGAAGCTCTTTATGAGACGGGGTTGTTTCACCTGGGTCAAACCTTCTGTTATGTTTATGCATAACAGCCCTGAGTCATGTGTCCGACACAGCTTGATCCTAATGATGCTATCCTCAGAAGGAAGTCGAATACCACACTCACCAAACCGAAGATCCTTGGTTATACCAAGTTGGGCCTGGGCGTAAAGGGACAAAAGGAGAGGGGCTGTACCCTTAATCTCATGTGAATCAAGGACGCCCGGAACTCTCAAGTCCTGCTCCAATCCCATTATAGAGAAAGGTATGGTCCTGCTACCCAGGGTTTCGGTAGCACCGCTAAGACCCTTGAAGGTACGATTGCCCTCAGGTTTAAACCTCGTGCTGTAACCGAAGTTCGCAAGTTTCCCCGCCGCGTTTGCTATCCAATCGCTACCGTGAACAGTCGAGTTACAGCCCTCATCCAACACGGCGTATACGTGCTTATCCTCGTAGATATTTACTACGGGCAAATCAACCAAAGCCGGATGGATATCTGTGACCCCCTCAGTGAAAGCCACGAAGGCGTGCCTCGTCGCGGAGGCCCTCGAGGAGCGCGATCTCGCCGACGCCACTTCCCAACTGTTGTTGGTCGATGGCGCAGAGTGATCATCTAAGGCCTCTTGCAGGTATCCGAGAAGGTCACCGCGGGATATCACGGGCTCGGTTACGAAGTGACCCTCTATGGTCTCTTGAAACTGGGCAATAGCCGGAACTACTACCTCTACGGGGAGGCTATCCCCCGTGCTGCCGACTATGCTGCGCAGAAGATCGAAGTCCAGGGTGTTGGACTCCCGCAGCACTGTGGCTGCGTCATCCCTAGCCTTTCGCTCGGTCTGCGGCTGCTCATCTAGAAGCATCCCACAAAGCTTGCACTTAATGCGGGAGGTCTTCCTACTGCTACCCGACCTTTCGGTGGAGGTGTGAGGGCATGTGGCCTGGTCTATGACAGGCTTCTCTTTCTTCGTCTTAGTGACGGTGCCGCATTTCTTACAGGTCCGCATGTCTATGTATGCGTTACTCCCCGACTTGTTGAACTCCTTGCAACCTCCCCGGCATTTCCGGGGGCCTTCGCTGGACGAAGCAGCTGACGCGGCGAGGCGAACCTCGGGCTGAAAGGGTTCAGGCGGGGGTTCCTGGCTGAGAGGGACATCCCTTCTCGTGATGCTAATGGGGTTATCATCACGCACATCAAAGTACTCCGTGACCCAATCCAAGAAATCAGCCAAATTTATGGATGGGCACTTCTGCGTGCGTCCCCAAAGAACATACCCAGGAAACGTATACAAGACACGCTCATAAGTCAGACCCTTATGCTGACCAAAGGAGAAAACGCGATCGGAACCCTCAGGCGGGCTGTCACGCATGATCCTAGCGGCGGCTGTGCGCCGAAGCTGTGGTGAGAAGAGGGTTTCATTGCCGCGGCCTTTGCCGGTATTGGTCTTTGAGGGAGTCAGCTCAAGGTTGGCTGGGTAACCCTCGAGCCTACCAGCGCTCGCATTCGACAGATGGACACACTCTGTGTCATCCTCCTCCACTGCGGCGAAATACGCCTGGGGCTTCGGCGCCGCCGACTTTGCGGCTGCGTTGGCAGTTCCCCCAGACTGTGCTGGGGTTGCGGTGGCTTTGGGGCCATTGCCCTTACCGCTAAACTTACAGGCAGCATCTCCGGCCCAATGGCCGACCACACCGCACTTCAGGCACCTACTCTTTGCCTTAAGCTCTGCCAACTTGGCCTTACGATCAGCAATGGTCAAATTGCTACGCACGACTTTCCCTCCGGATTTTCCGGAGGACTTGCCCTTGTTCTTCCCTTTACCTTTTCCTTTCGCCTGGGCAAAGGCGGTCTGTGCCGCGTACGCAAGCTGAACTGACTCGGCATAGGAATCATCCAAATCGTCAATCTCAGCTTCATATGCCACTGCCGTATAGGCGTTGAGTTGCAATGCTAGATCTTCATCATCAATCCATTCATCCGCATCATCTCCCCCAGACACTGTGGCCTGGTATGCTTCTTCGCCGTAGCCGTCACCGTAGCCTTCCGCGGATTCCTGTTGTTCCTGGTGACCATACTCTGCGGCACTACCATCATACCCCATATAGCCAAACTTAGGGTATTGTGGCTTAGCGTCGAAACGTCTCCAGGTCTTACCTGGGCCACTAGGGTCCTTCTGGGTAAGAAGACGTTCCTTCATGTGCACCACTGAGTGATGCTGAACAAGGACGCGTGCGTACTCATCCACGGTGTGTACGCGGGCGGCGGTCTTGACCATTAGCTGTTCGTTCCTTTCCAACCCTGAAAGCTCAACAAGGAGATTAGCCCTCATTGCTTCAGAAAGGCGGATATCAGGATCTAGCTCACGCAAGGTCGACCACCACCGCTTTCGGCGGGCTATGTAAGACAACATAGGCTCGCCGGGTTGCTTTGCAAGTGGGCCCGTCAGGAGCTGTCCCTGACGGAAAAGTTCGGACGCCTCTTCAGATTGAAGAGGGAAGGCTTGCCTCCTGATTTCTTCTATCAGGTAGTCGACGCCATCATGGCGAAGCAGACGTTCCAGGCCGACGTCGCGAGCGATGCAAAAGGCGTCTCCTCGGAGACCCTCCAAGATCTTGCTAACGCATTCGCTCATATCAAGCGACTCGTCCTTAATGTCTTGCAAGGTGTACACCGCCGGATCTGTGTCCGGCTCTTGCTCATCGTCGCCCGCCACTTGGCTGGGGTGCGACGGCAATGACTCCGCATCCTCATCTTCTGCCTCGGACGCGGGCTTAGTCCGTTTTGCGCTGGACGGACTGGCGGGTATACCGCTGCTTCCATCACCATCTGTGGGCGATGCACTGGTCCCCTGACTTGCCCTGCCACGCCACTTCCTTGGTGACTCGCTCTTGGCCCTTGCCGACTCGGCAAAACGCAGGTCCTTAAGAGCTTCGCGCCGCTGCTTCTCCTTATGTTGCAGCACGCGGATCTGTGTCCGGAAGCACCAATCGTGGAAGCCAGCAGCCGTACCGTCGTATATGTACGACCCGCTTTTGGTTTCTGCAGGGCTCAGGTTCTGTGACCAGAGATTGGGCTGGTAACGCAAACCTGCCACGCTCATGGCTTCAGATAGAAGGGGCCTTTGCGCCGCGACTATCACTACTCTACCCAACGGACCCCGGACCACAGGCTCTACGGGGGTGAAACACTAGTGGTTGTCCTCACAGCTCCGCTACCAGTTTGAAGCAGGAACTGGATTAGTGAGTGTCCAACCACACAAACGAGCGCACTTTTTGGTCTGAGCCCAAGACGTCTGTCGAATAGGGTGCGTTCAGAACTAGCACGAAAACTACGCTCGCATGAGGACATGTCAACACGGCACTTCAAGACAGGGAAATTTCACAAGGGTTGAGGGTTTAGGGCTTAGGGGTTTAGTGGTTTAGGGCTTATCACAGGGCATCTACAGATTGGCATATGTCTGTGTCTGCGTGAACATGTGCATATCCATACCAAAATATAGACATGTGTGTATCTTTATGTAGCTAGTTCTAGACTAGCCGAATTACATATTGCTTTTGCACCTTCGGTTCGAAAATTATGCATGTTGTGTCAAATATTCCTGTCTAGGCGTATCCGCCCACAAATCTGTGTCTATGCTTGTCGGTCTGGAGGCTCGTAGTATGAACCAAGCCCTCAGGTATCGGTGTGAAGGAACCTGGCCGGTTGACGAGTTCGATGGCAATTTCTGTTGAACAACGGCATCCCTGCCGTTGCGACTGTTCGTTACGCTTCGTGGCTTTTGCACACCACTCTGATGCCTGTTGCGTATGGATTGGCGGCACTGCAACTAAGTATAATGCGGATGGCGAAGGCAAGCTGACCTCGACCTGATCGACCGGCAAATGCGAAAGATTTGCAAGTGTTTAAGGATGCATGAAAGCTACGGCTACTATCAGCGTTGAGCGCACGCCTCCTCGTCCTCAATCTCGTCGTCCTCCTCCTCGCCGTCGGAGGTCTGGTCCCGCGCTTCCATCGCAGGCTTAGCAGGCGCCTGAGAAATCCAAGGGTGACATGGTTGCGACGGCAAGGTGACCTGGTTCCCTGGCTTGTCTTGCTTGTTGCTGCCTTGCAGATTCCCGCGATTGAGAGTTTTGGCTGCTTGGCTGTGGTTTTCGCGCAGCACGGGTGAATCCGAAGCCTTTTCGGCCCAAATCCGAATCTCGAGAGCTGAGCAAACCGCGAAACTGTCGGGCTACCCAGAACCCCATCTCAAACCCAGGGCCGTTCCTGCATCTGAGGATCAGCCGTTCTTCGGCGCAACCCGTGTGAGGATGTCGCGGCTTTGCTTGGCATCTCGGACTCATCTCGGCGCTGTTGGACGCTGAAGCTTCGAGGGATTGAGGTTACAGCTACAGGATCTTTCAAGCGCCCAGGGGTGTTGAATGCAACAGAATTGAGATCAGGTGGGCCAGGCTCTGTCGCTGAGACTGTCTTCTTACTCACTATTCGGTACTATATACATCGCAAGTATGACTATGTCGGTCTCTATTCGATGGCAGTGCTGAAGGCAACGAGAAAGCCCACTCCTCACAACATATTCCGAAGGAATGCACAAGCCTGCAAAGTCCATCAAAGGTCTATCATCTCTGTAATGGCTTTCCTCAGACACGGTGACCGCCACCGACTGTCACATTCTGACATGCCATACGGGCCTTAATGATTAATACGGGGCTTTGGGGTATATGCTACTATAATCCTAATAAGGAACCCCCCCAAAAACATGGTACAGGTAATTTTTTTCGGTCCCTATGTTACTCGACATGGAGAACCCAGAGCAGACTCAACCGAAAGCTCCTGAATGCAAAACCACCCAGTGCAGATCCCGGCGCTGTCCAGGTAAATGTCCTCCTGGGAGTTTCCGAAAAGTAGGGCTACTTTATTTCGGGTCCTTATAAAAAGGTAGGGCTACTTTATTTAGGGTCCTTATAATAAGGTAGGGGTACTTTATTTAGGGTCCTTATCATAAGGATCCCACTCTTTAGGATGCTATATTAGGGTCGGGACCCATTTTCGGAAACTCACACCTCGCACTCCACAGCATCCTCTGATCCGGAGCTGGCACCGTCCTGGAGTATGTAGGAAAGGGTTTAGGGTTTAGGGTATAGGGTTTAGGGCTGTTTCTTGGGAATGCTTGCGCTCTTGGGCCCTTCGGGACCAGGACTTGGCCCTTCGGCTGCTTCAGGTGATGGGGGGAGCTGTAGACAGTATGGGAGTTTCCAACAATTAGGGTGCCTTATTTTAGGGTCCTTACAATGAGGGTTCTACTATTTAGGGTACTAATATTAGGGTCCCGCATTTTCGGAAACTCCAGTATGGTGCCGGGCTCTTGTTTCAGCAATGCAGACGGGCCTGGTTCATGCGCGGCTTTATGGCAGCACTCCAGCCATTGCGAAGGAAAGCGCAACTCTGGGACTCGGGGGGTTTAGGGTTTAGGGGTTTAGGGTTTAGGGGTTTAGAGTTTGGGATTCTGGGATGGATGCTTCAGCGAACCGGTCACCACGTTTGGGAAAAGGAATACGTGGAGAGTGTTGACATGCCTTTTCTTACCTTCAATGCGACTTCTGCGACTCACAGTAAGCCCATGCTGTTCATCACCAAAACAGCTTGAAGACAGCGCACGCCATCGGCGATCGCGTGGGTTTTGAATGCTGTCCTGAGCTTGATGGATGCTCTGAGGCACGGACGCCAGCTTTCTCGCATTGTTGGCGTTCACGCTAGCTGCTGTGTCCATGTGGTCCGTGTAATGAGACACCTTAACACGACAGTTTCTGAGTCAGAACCATTCAAGCTGGACGAGGCATTCACGAGATAAGCCACAAGAAGAACACGCAAATCTGGGATCTAAGCAGACGAGGGGATTTGGGGCCGAGTCGGCCACGTGCATGGTCGCATCGATGAGCCGCAAGTATTTTCGCTCATCGTACGTAAGCCTGTCGATGACAGAGGCTTTTGGACGTCTGCTTCTTCAATGCGTCATTTGGACTTGCATAGGAGGCCGTAAATCGAGGGCCGAGGACCGAAAAGCAATCGAAGTGCCTTGTAGGCCATAGCAAGCTCTTGCTTCTCTTAGCGCGGGGCTTGCACCTCGGTAGGCCTCGGATTATGGAGATGTAGCCTTCACAGCTGCAGCTGATCGCAGCTGCAGCAGTAGATAGCAGCAGCCACCGTGGAAAAAAAATGCATAAGATGGTCTTCGATCTTCAACGAGTGGATATTATCGGGCTCCGGACTGCTGACGCTGGCATGCGCAGGATCTAAGCCCGAAGTAGTCAGGAAATCTTGCACAGAGTGGAAAGGCTTGATCGTCTTGATCGCATTATTTTACCAGCAATATGCTTTTCTACATTAGGCTGCCTCTTAAGGTGGCTCGTAAATACCGGCTTTATGCAGTACGGACACGGAACAACCCCATGCTTGGTTTCCTATCCTAAACCTGTAACTCTTTCCCCTAGACCCTAAAGCTTAAACAGTGGTTTCCTATCAAAGAGGAGGCCTCATGGGGACGAACTTTGCTCGTTCGCAGAAGTCCAGATGATCGGAGGAGGAGCTGTCATCCTTCATGCCTTGGAAGGGAAGCCTACCTTAAAGGCCTTGATCATAAGGATCCTACTATGTAGGATACAAGCAGGGTCCCCTATTCCGAAAACAAGCTTGCCTGAAAGTCCTCATAACAAGGATCCCAGTATGTAGGGTACAATATTTGGGTTTCCTATTCCGAAACCCAGATAAGCCCGGATCAGGATTTGGTTAGGAGTCTCCGCATGTCCAGTTGCGATCCTTAGCCCACTAGCCCAAACTGACAGCCTGCACCCAAAATCCATGTCCTTTCGGCACCGAAACCACGGAAGCAAGGATTTGGCTCAGCCAGGCACCTGTTTTCACCTCACTGTATTGATCGGCGATAGCCTGGCATCTATGAATCCAGTGCACGTAAAGATGGCGAGACATATGTCCTCAACTGATGCTGCTTCTAGTACTCTTGAAACTGGCCGTACTATCGTTACGACCAGTATTCTGAACCTGATCAAACTCTCGTTGCTGTTTCGGTAGGGTTGTTATTGTTTCCATAAGTGCGATGATAGTGGTGATGGAAGAGGGTGACGAGAAGGATTGCAATCGCGCAGAAAGTTATAAGATGCTGATGCTGCTGACGATGATGACGATAACAACGACGACGATGACGATGGCATGGTGATGATGATGGTGATGACAGTTGTTACTATTCCTTGCCGTTGTGCTGCCACGGATGGTGCTGGTGGTAGCAACGATGGCAGATGTGGCGGTCAACGTTCAGTCTTTGTACGATGACGACCTCCCACTTTGCAACTCATATACTACTACTACGACGACGACTACTTCTACGACGACTACTGCTACTACTACTACTACTACTACTACTACTACTACTACTACTACTACTACTACTACTATTACTCCTGCTACTACTACTACTACTACTACTACTACTACTACTACTACTACTACTACTACTACTACTACTACTACTACTACTACTACTACTACGACGACTCCTGCTAGTACTACTACTACGACGACTACTACTACTCCTGGCTATCCATCCTTCGTCTTCAGTCTTTTTAGAGATGAGCGAGGTGTGCGTAGATGTCTACGGCTGCCACGACCACGACCGTGTTGTCCCTCAGACATAGTAGCATTGCTGTCTCCTCATTTTCAGAGCTGCTTCAGCTCCGATTGCCTTGCGAACTTCGCAGCATGCTGCGGCTGCGGTTCTACGGGAACCGGCTTGCTTACAGCACACTGTCAACATGTAGTTGCCTCCTGAACATCATCACCTTCTGCCCGGTGTCAAGGAGCGCAAGACAAGCTCGCAGTCGACGGCCTTTTGTCTGTCTTCCTCTGAAACTTGGTAGAGCTCAGCAGCCAAGCCGTAATCCTGCCACGAAACGTCACATGTCAGCCTTGCAGCCCCCGACAGACTTTGGACAAGATCTTTGCAGATTGGAAACGCGATTTGCGGAGCACAGTGGCACAGTCGATCTCTATATGTATACATAAATACGTATGTATATATGTATGTGTACACGTACATATATAGATACACATATGTGTACATATAAATATGTATATATATATATAAATAAATATATATATATATATATACACGCAGAGAGAGAGAAAGAGAGAGAGAGAGAGAGAGAGAGAGCGAGAGAGAGCGAGAGAGAGAGAGAGATAGAGAAGGAGAAAGAGCCCTGCACCTGCGCAATCTTGCGCCGGCAGTCCGGGACCTCCACACGATGGCGAGTGTGCCGTCGAAGTGGCTCATTATTGTCAGTGCTCGTGTATTTTGACAACCACCCATATATTGAACCCTCATGGTCCTGAACCCTAAAAGTTTAGGGTTTCGGGTTTAGGGTGACTACAAGTTACCCTATATATATATACATATGCTTTCACGCTGATTTTAAAGTGGCTCAAGGCCGAACTCGTGGCTGGAAGAAAGCACCTGCAGGGAAGTCCGAGGGACGGCTTAGGTTTTGGGGTTTTAGGGTTCAGGGTTTAGGGTTTAAGGCTTTAGGGTTTTAGGGTTTTAGGTTTAGGGTTGAGGGTCTGCCACGGCCTTGCGAATGACGGTCTGCAGTAGGCGTCGAAGAGTGCCCTGACAGTCACTTCTTGCACCGAAGCCACACTGCACCAAACCTTTGGAATCAAACCACCAGGTACCAAACCACCCCAGAAAGAATGGAGTGGAGAAGCTTAATAGGAGAAGATGTTGACTAGCGAGACACTAGGATGTCTATGTGTCTGTTTATTATCCTTTTGGCGATCTACTCATCTGTCTATCTACACACCCAGCTGTCTATCTGTTATCTCTCTCTTTATCTGAATATTAAATCTATCTATCTGTCTGTCTCTCTCTCTCTCTCTCTCTCTCTCTCTCTCTCTCTCTCTCTATCTATCTATCGATCTATCTAACTATCCGTATGTCTCTAGGCCTGTCTCTCGATCTATCCTTCTTTCCGTCTAGCCACCTCTGTCTCGCTCTACCTTACCATCCATCCATCCATCCATATATGCATGCATCCATCCATCCACCCACCCACCCGCCCAGCCATTCATCAATACATCTACATACGTATATACGCATGCATGTATCGGTGTTTGGTCATGTCTGCATATGCTGCATATGAACGAATGAATGAACAAAAATGAGTGAATGAAGTAAGGAAGCATGGAAGGAATGAACGAACGAACGAATGAATGAATGAAAGAACGAAAGATGCCAAGAAATAATGAATTAATGCATGTGTGAATGTGTCTGTGCGTATGTACGTATGCATGTGCCTTTGCAGGAATGAACCGACCTGCGAGTACTTGGAAGAATGTATGAAACCATGAGCTAATGTATGTCTGCCATACAGCGTAGGAATGTATGTCGGAAAACGCACGCTGTATTGCATGCTTTTGAAATGCAGTAAAACAAAGCGTGCTCTCTTGTATCTAGCGTACATACGGCCAACAGGATCTGAAAAACAACCGGTGCTGAGGTGGTTCCTGCCTCGTCGCAGTTGTCGATCGCTTCGATCATGCTCTCTGGACCTGTGAGCTCACATCCCCCAGTCGCACTTCAGAGCGACAACCAGCACTTCGTCTTGCTTGAATTGAATGACCCGTTCAAGGTCTGTGGATGAAGGCTTGGTTGAGGCGCGTATCAGGCTCAACTTTGGCAAGGGCCTCAGCAGGTCGTCTGGCATGACATCGCTAAAACAGTCAGCTAGACGGATGAGCGTCGAAAACTGTGGGATACCGAGTAGCTGCAGGAAGCTTGCCACACCTCACCACCGTCACATGTCCTGCTACTAGTAAACGACAAAAGAGCTCCTCTTGTGCTGGATGAGTGCCATCGTGAGGATTGCAGTTCACACACCGGAAACAGTCTGCGTTTGCTGTTGTTGCCAAAGCTAGACGTGGTGGCAAAAGAAGAAGTTGCAACAGCAGCAGCAGCAGGAGGAGCGGGAGCGGGAGCGGTGCGGTAGCTGAGCTGTGGCAGTAGCAGCAGCGGTAGTAGTAGTAGTAGTAGTAGTAGTAGTAGTAGTAGTAGTAGTAGTAGTAGTAGTAGTAGTCCAGTCGGTTGCTGCTGTTGTCCTACGATGAAGATATCACTACGGTACAAATTCTTCACGCTGCAAGCCGCCAAGGCCACCGCTTCTGCTCACTGGGGAATCGACAGCCATGGCCTGCATTCCCAGCAGACATGTTGCGGTTTAGGGTTCTCGCTGTCTCGCTGTTGGTCATGTTGGGTCAGAGTCCTTATAGGCGTGTTCTACGTACCTCCGTGGGATGATAGAACAGGAGTGGGTTTCTGATTCGGGCTTCCAGGTATACTAGGTATATTAGCCTATAGTGATAATAACGAGCCCCTCCCCCCCCCCCCCCGAAAATTGCATAGGTAATGGTGGTGGTAGCGATAGTGGACGTCGAATCACGTTTCGCAGAAGCTCTGTGTCGGCTCCAAGGATGATTCAGCTTGTGTTCTGAAGCGCCAGAGTGTTTTGTCGATTGAGAAGCCGTAACCCAGACTCCATTGTGAGCCTCTGACTCTTCTACAAGCTTTTGAGTCTAAGTTAGGAACCTGATTAAGAAACCTTGGGCCTTTGTTAGGGTAGGGTTCCGTGTATGAATCCTACTATTTTGGGGTTATAGGCCCAGGGTTTCTTAAGCAGGTTCCTACATTAGGTTGGACATGTGCCACCATTCTCTCCGGAAGAGTTTCGCAGTAAACTCAGATCGCGGCTTCCGCCATGGCGGAATCCACCCGCACAAAACTTCCAACCCGATTCTAAGCTTTTCGCGTTTTGGACTGCTTTTGTAGGGTGAAAGTAGGTATTTGAAGCTTTGCATTGCGATTTTGGCTGATGCTCTGAGAGCTACTGTCCAGTCGCACATACAAAGCATCGCTGCCAACTGAAGACAACATCAAGCGTTGCCGCTGAGCTTGTTTTCTCAATTAACAAACATGGCTCGCAAACATTCCAACTAGCTTTGGAGATGGCGGCAGAAAGACTGGCACCTTCCAGACATGCATGCCCGAGCTGCAGATCACTGCACGACAGCGGAGCAAACCGCCAACCAATCACAGCGATTCAGACGTTGAGGTGGGAGCATGCAAGGCTTTGTATGGTGCTGTTTTGTCGGGGTTTTGTGTTGGAAACAGGACCTGATGGAGAAGGCAGGTTAGCAGAATGCTGTACAACCGTAGACTGCCAGAGCTCGCGACAACGATTGCCATCGGCACAATGACTTTTTGCTGGCCTCATGCCGGGCTCAGCTAGTGGGGGAAGTCTTCGAAGCCGGATGATGCAGATTTTGTAACACGGCAGGTTGCTGCTCATGAAGCCACTCAGTCTTCCGTGGAGCTCCAGCTTCACAAGCTTCGCCGTGAGCGTCTTCCGGGCACGTCGACAAGAACAACTGGAGCAAAGACGCACTCGTATGTATAATAGCATCGCCATCACGGTGCTCAGCTCCCAACAGATCGCCAACTGACGATTCCTCTTTGCTTGCCTTTACTTGTGCGGTTG